AAGTAGCCAGGGGTGGGGTGGTCAAGCAATAGGCAGGGGTGGGGTGGTCAAGTACCAGGTGGAGGTGGGTTGGTCAAGTACCACCCCTCCCCCATCACCAAATGAGGTCCCAAGGGGCAGCGTTGGCCCCGTGGGACCTCGGCGGGTGAGGGGGGAGATAGGGGAGGGGGGACTATAGGGGGGAGAGGACAGAGGGGGGTGGGCTGTCTAAAATAACCCAGGAGGTAATATGCTGGATACCTAGTAGATACCTATATAGATACCTAATAAATAGTATGTAGAATAATATTTTGCATAAGACAATAAACATCTTGACACACAGACGTAATCCTCCATAGTATTTTATTTTGCCATATTATTAACTCCTATAGAATATTATAAATAGTCTCCTTCACGGTTACCTGTGCCATCTTGAAAGGTAGCCATGCCTTTGCATCGAAGCGAGACAACCGTTGAGTGTGCAATGATAGAAACCTTCTTTCACACCTACAGACAATTATTCACAGGTATCTATCATTGCACGCTCGACAGTTGTCTCACTTCAATGTTAAGGCACGGCTACCTTTCAAGATGGCGCAGGTATCTATGAAGGGGTATCAGTCTCTCTCAAAGGGGATTCGCTCTTTGAGAGAGAGAGCCTGATACTCGGGCTAATTATTATAAATGTTCACTTGAATGTTGGATTCAAAATCCAACATAGCAGCCGAGAGAAAGAGGACTATGGTCTTAAAGTTTCCCATACATCCTCTTGGCTACTATGTTTTATGATATTGAATCAACATTCAAAGTAAAATAGAAGACACAAAATAGAATACAACAGGAAGCCAATGTCTACCCTAGAATCTACTAAAGTCTACCCAAGTATTTGATAATGAGTAGCCTAATTATGAAAGCTTTGAAAAATATTCTTAGAAAACAATGGAAATGTAGATTTTGARTTACTATTTTTGTGGGTTTTGGTTTCTTTGTTAAAGTGCGCACACTTTATCTGCAAACCATAAATAGTATAATGCAAGTGAAAAAATATTGGATATAAATTGCCAAACCTTTTAGTAATATTAGACTAAAATTACTAGAGTGTGCAATACTTAACACTATTTATTACAAAATAGTGTTAATTAAACAATAGAATTAGCATAATTTAGCAGTATTTATGTTGCACAGTTTTAGTGTTTGTACTCTATTGGTCTTTCAGATTTAGTGTGCGTACTCTACTCATTTTGTTTTCATCTTTGATTTTGAGCCAATCAGAACCTTTCAAAAAGAACAAAAGAAATGACTGCAAAGGTTTCTGGGTGCAAGTGGGCCTTTAAATGGCTCTGTGTTAGCCTCAAAACCAAGTAACATATTCTTTTGTTTCATTGATAGCTCAAGAAAACGCATGGAAGAAAAACAATAAATTTGATTTGAAATCTCACACTTTTATGCTCAGAATAAAGAATATTTTGCGCACAAATGAGGCTAACACAGAGCATTGGAGAATTCGAAACTGGAGTATTCTACTTTGATTAATATCTAAAATGCAAACAATGTAGTAGTTCAAAAATGCCTAAATAAAGTATATCGCAATGAATGGCTTTTCTTAAGTGTTCAGTAATCTAGTTTGTTTGCATTCTAGATATTTGCATGTATATCTTATACAGTTGCAGAGGTCTTATTGTCAGTTAGGATGTCTTTCAATAAAACCTTTCCATAAAAATGGACAGCTACAATTAAGTGAAATGAAGAGGAGCACACTGATAAGAGCAAGAATGGGTAATGGACAGGGAATATAAATCAATAAAWTAAAACGAATTTGGAGAAAGAATGCCGAGGTATACTAAAACTCAAAAGTGAGAAGGCACAAAAATAATAATTCTAGAGGCAAATAACGTAACTTGTAAATACTCAGAAAGCAATAAAAATATTTGAAAAGTGTCTCCCTTTTTTGTGAATGACTTAATTTTTTTGTATGAAAAAAATCAGGTAGAGAAGATTCCACTGCAATTTGTGAAAGACTGGTAAAATTAAAGCAAAAATTTCAAATGTTCATAAAAAAATCATAAAAGCCTTGTGTCTTCACTAAGCAAGCCCACTGGGTATATGAAGACAGACTAATGTGCTGGTTCCACCAATCGCTACAAAAGACCTGTTTCTGAGAGGGGATGGGGTAGGGATATCAAGAMCTKATWGTCTTGATATGAAAAAGAAGARAAAGCATGTTTTTATTCAGAATATTAACAAATATCACTAGTGACCAAGGCATCCATAAGAAAATGTGTTGAATCATTACAAAGGCACTCTCTTCTTGACTATGGATTGACCTGCAAACAATCATTAAAAAGTGAGAAATAATGTCATAGTTACATTTAAATTAATTTAATACAGGCACATATTAACCAAAAATCCAATTTAGTAAGAATGATCCCAAAGCATCAACAATAAAGTTCTGTAAAAGATTTTTTTAAAGGACATGCAGTCCAGGAATGGATTTAGGATTTTCTTYAGGGAGAGTGCAGGTCACACCAAGGAAGGGTTATGCACCACCAAAACAGCAACAAAGAAGATTATGCAAAAATACTTCTAAGATGTTAAGATTGATATTTGTTACAGGGACTGACATTTTAGAATCTTCCACCCCTGGTATAATTTTTCTAGTTTTAGAATATGCTATGTACCATGCCTTTTATAATAATTCATAGTGTAAATTAGGGTTTGTATTCCCTGTAATGTACCCACAGATGGATGTCATTTGACACTGATATAAGTTTCATGCATATAAGTGTRCAATATCACTCCTTTTCACTACATGTATGTCATTATCACAACAACTACAGCCCATGTTTATCAATATTGGTGATTCTATGYGTAGATCTACCATAGAATGTATGTGATTTAATTAATTCTTTACTTGAATTTYCACATGCACTTTGAATCCCAATAAAATCCCTTGAAACTTACATAGTGTCGTCTTTGTACACTTTGGTTTATTGTATGGCTGCATGAGCTTGTGTTTGGTTGTTTTATGTTGTTTCTGTTTGTTTGTCTGTTGTTTTGTGTATTTATTTGTGTATTTGAACGATATTTGTTCAGTTTAGGTTATAAATAAAGGTAGGAAATAAAGATTTAACTCAACTCTCATATATTCTATATAGTACATCAAAACAATGAACTTGGGCCACAGCTGTGTTATCACTAAAAGAAATTTTAAATTAAACAAAATGCATTTTTACTCAAAATCCCAATGATTAAAGATATACTAAGTCCCTCTGGACCTAAGACGTTCATTTTGCATAATTGTAAGATAATTTGATCTGCYTTTTGTTRATTTCTGTTTCTAGTCTGAATATCTGTTTACACATTTTCCTCGAGAAAATTTAGTTAAATGGACCTATTTCTCTAGTTTTCATCGTCTTGCACACACAAAAAGCATTATTTACATTCTACCTAACTTAAATTAATGTTTTTATCTTACCTTTGACGCTAGGAAGTCTTTAAATCGAGGAAAATAAACCTTATAACTTTCCCTCGTGTTCGCCGCCATTTTGAATTTTCCGCGTGATGCATGACCGTGCGAGACTGGTGTCAACATTACCACAGGAAGACCAACGATCTGGAACTTCTTTTTGAGTATATTTTTGCAACTTTACAATTTATAACAATTTTGGTATCTGTCTGACTAGAATAATGTGACAAATGTTTATCATGATTGATAAAAACTCTCTTGATCATATTTATTTCATCAAAGGAGAGGGGAGGCATGAACCAGGTAGGGGTGTCACGGGTGGGGCCAGAGAGGTGTTGCCCATTGATGACAGWTCAATTAATCTCAATTGCAAAAAAATGTTTATTACTCTACATAATATCTTGCTAATTATTTTATGAATCATTTAGTTATCCCTGCATATTTATAGTGCTAGCAACAACACTCTATACTTGTCTAATAAAYGTTTACATTATATTGATTATATTGAAATAATTACAAAAACATTGTGCAAAAATAATAAATAATTATTGGCTGTACTTGTCTCTGCATTCCTCTTGTATAATCCTGGTGGGAGTATGTGCGKAGAACATTGTGGTATTTTTATTAACCTCTAAAAATAATTTCTACCACCAAAATTATTGAGCATACAGAAGTTGCAAGTGACAATGTCAAATTKTATAAAAGACTTCTTGGCTYAGCAAGAAATGCTTTGAAGCYTGCACATCATTCAGCTCTGATAGACAAATTAGGTGCATGTGCCATAGCATAGAAGCTAAATTACTGATGACCATGCAAAATAAATATGCTCTGAATCATTACACACTGGAGTCAATATCTCTTTCAACATGCTCACCAATTCTCCTGCATTGAAGCCAAGGAATGGTAGATGKTGCAGGGAGCTGTAATGGACAATTCTTTGGTTTTCATAGAGCAAGTAATTATTATATCAACCCCCTGCACGAGTGGGAGGGCACATTATTTACATTAATGGTATGGGTACTTGGCAGTTTGAATTGACCCTATATAAGGTGCAGTGTAATTCTGAGACTGTATTAATTATACATGAGGTATTCCAGGTACTCCTAACATGTACCTTAGCAAAGGAACTCCTTAAATATGTGCTATGAGTGCTTGTTGCTTAAAACCTGAATTTCTTTGTGAAGGTCTTCCAGGCACACCTACCACCAATACATGTACATAAAGGAATGTTCCCAGAAATATCAATAATATTACTCCATTTCTATTCTACATTAATCAGCTTGAATGTCCATGCCCAAATGGTCGGTAACTTGGTAAAAGGAATTGCAGGTACATGGATGGCCATACCATTRAAACCCGTTGACGTCCAGTTAAACAATCCAGGATACCCGAGCATTGTTACCTTGGTATCATTCCTAGTCATTGGCTGACCAAGCACTAAATCRGAATCAGGCCAGTCTAAGACAATGGCGTAAACTGCAGAATCTTTTGATGTATACCTGTGTAATAATAAACAAAACTTCTTAATCTATAAGCACATTTGGTAGGAATATGTATTCCTCTTCTCRTAGACGTTTTCAAATGATTATAACTGTGCTGATCAGACTCATTCAGACCAACATTGTTTCTTGTTCAGCTTACTTGTTTTTGATTTCTGATCCCATAGGACCATGTGTCATTAATTGATTAATATTTACTTATTATCAGTATTGTTTGATCTTGAATCTTAAACTAACCAGACATTTTTTGTGTATGTATCATTCTGTGCTCTCCATGGRTTTGTTTCATAAATTGCTTCACCATTCACATCCAGCCATTTTCCCATCTGAAGCAGTCTTTCTTGRAAGGCAGGAATGATACGACCATCAGCAGTTGGTCCAACGTTCAGCAGCATATTTCCTCCACAGCTAATAACAACACAATTACCTTCATTGTTTAACTTTTATTTTGATTTGTGAATGCAGGTCAAGGGAGCTCAAACTAACAAATTCAATCACATTTTAGAAAAATACTTTACTGTTCAAGCATACATTGAAGCAAATAAACAGATGGAAGGACAAATAAATAAATGGATGGAAAAATAAATGGATGGATAAATGAATGGATGGATGGATAAATGAATGAATGAATGAATGAATGGAAAATTAGCTCAACCAAACAAGGACTCTGATATATGGATAGTTAATCAAATGCATCAACTGACAATTGTGGGAACGGAGAAATAAATAGATGGATTAAGCAAATGAATGAATATTAAGTGGAAGAACAGATGGTTAAATAACTGAAAAAATGAACAAAGTATAACATATATACCTGACAGTGGATGCGAGTTCTGCAATCAGTTCCTCTATAGTGTGGTATTCTTCAAGTTGAGGGGCATTACGTCTGAATCCCCAAGAATTTTTGTCCACTGGCAGGGCATTCTCCCATTTATGTTTGACAAGAACACCTGTAAAAAAAATAATTCCTGAAATATAAAAAACCTTACTGGCTGTAACATTTTGAAATTATTAAAATCTGAATAGCCCAAGTAACCAAAACTACAATGTTTTTATCTTATTACCAGGATTAAAGTTGTCWTGGCAAGTATACACAGACCCATGATGGCACATACAACCAGCTCCCCAGCGGTCATTGACGATTATTGTGTCCTTCACTGGACTGCAAACCAATCATATGAATTTAATTATTTAAATCAGGATATACAATGTGATATAGACAGCCAATCAGGTGACTGACAGCTGTCAATCAAAGCCAACAACACAACGGGTTTTAACCAAAAATCATTCTGAAGGTCTTCATAGATGTTTAAATGAATTTAAATTATAAATAACTTGATTACAGAGAAAAATATACAGTACCTCTCGTT